AATATCACCGTTGCCGTTCATAGTTACAAATCGTCTGGTTGCACTACATTTTGAGCTTTAGAACCGTATTTATATATAAACAGCTAGATAGTTAAGCTATCAGATATTTATGCTACGAGATTAAACGATAAACTTTAAGTTGATGTTTTTTTGACTTGCTGCTGTCTTATTGCAGTTGTTTACTTGCTTCACAGCTTTTTATATTCTGTTTAGAACTTTTTCGCCATGGCAGTAGGCGGCTTTGATTCTTCGTCGAAGGACGCATGCCAGTTGGCTGATGTAGTTTCTAGACTAATCTGTTTTCCGGACGTCGAACAGTTGGTGAATGAAATGGATATCCGCACAGACTCTTGACATATGCAGTTTCTGTTTTATGTATTTTGTTTTCGTTACTTTAAGTTAATTGTATAGTGGTTTTCTTGCATTCGAACGATGGACGTTGTGTTCTGTGGTTGCTGTTTAATGTTTTTTGTTATGTGTATTTAATTTATTTTTTAGGAACATCTGATATACTACTGACCTTGCGCCTTACTCTCATGCCGAATGAATTAGTCGCTACGGAAGGATATTTTCTTACAATGCCTTTGTGTTACTGAGTTCATGCGCTGGCGTCGCTACGCATCGTTGATACCCTTCTCTCTTCCGGCTTTAATGTTCGCCACATTTTAGTTTACTTGCAGTAATCGTCAATTCGCTGTTTTCATTATCAAATTGCATACGTTGCTATTATAACAAATTCACCATTTTGTTTGACTGCATTCATCGGGAATCCCGCTGAATTTTTTTTTCATACAGGCTTCCAATTTTGTATTGCTGTTTAACGAGATAGAAAAAGATAGTGTGTGTAAAGGATTAGTTGTAAAGTTAGCAAAATTTGTCTTTGCTTTCTCGATCCATTTTTAAGTTCGTTTTTAATATGATCAAGTAAATTTATAGCGAGTGTCATGATTATGCTATATTAAGCAAACCTCAAGCAGTTCAAGTTTCTGTCATCTCTTTTACATGTTTTTTTTAGTGCTTATGCATATGCTGCTTCGATATTGCTTCGTTTGAAAACATTCAATTGCCCATCATGGTACATGCACCTAGTCAAAGTGCTTTGACTTTCACCATAACTGTCAACGGTGGCAAGCATCGCGAAGTGGGACTCAGCGAAATTTTATAATATTGCGATGTCGGCCTGTTCAGAAAGGGTATCGACTCCGTTTTTGAATCGTTTCTTTGCCTTCAATCCTTAGTAGCGGTGACGATGTTATTACGCACCTAGAAAACATGAAACAAGTTCTGATCGTAGTCTGCTTCAGTTCCCGACGAGCTTGCGCCTCTCAAAACCCGTGCAACGATCAATCGTTTAAGATGCTTATTAATGACAATGTGATGACAGGTAGGTCACAAAGTTTTACCAATAATCTACCGCAATGGTCTTGACACTGTTCCAAGCTCCAGATATAGCTCTATCACTGGCACAGGATTGGGATCGTTGTAAAAACTGGCTTAGTGGTCATCGAAACTGACTGACTGACTGACCTTTGACTTCGCGTTACACTGCCAGCTATAAAGTCATTGTTTAAAACTATGAAGATGACGAACGTACAATTTAAGTGCGATTATTGGAAATAAAAGATTGACAAAATTGGACCTCGATGTTCTGGGGAGTT